TTTGACAAAATCCAACATCCCTTTATGATAAAGGTGTTGAAGAGACTGGGGATACAAGGATCATACCTAAATATAATAAAAGCAATATACAGCAAGCCAACAGATAACATCAAACTGAATGGAGAGAAACTCAAAGCCATTCTACTGAAATCAGGAACATGACAAGGCTGTCCACTCTTCATTATAGTGCTTGAAGTTCTAGCAGTAGCAATACGACAACATAAGGGGATCAAGGGGACTCGAATTGGAAAGGAAGAAGTTAAACTCTCGTTATTTGCAGATGATATGATAGTGTACATAAGCAACCCCAAAAACTCTACCAAAGAACTCCTACAGCTGATAAACACCTTTAGTAATGTGGCAGGGTACAAGATCAACTCCAAAAAAAAAAGTTGCCCTTCTATACACAAATGATAAAGAAGCAGGGAGGGAAATCAGAGAAACTTCACCTTTCACGATAGCCACAAATAGCATAAAATATTAAGGGATAACTCTAACCAAGGAAGTGAAAGACCTATTTTACAAGAACTTTAAGTCTTTGAAGAAAGAAATTGAAGAGGATACCAGAAAATGGAAAGACTCCCCTGCTCTTGGATTGGGAGGATTAACATAGTTAAAATGGCAATTCTACCAAAAGCAATCTATAGATTCAATGCAATCCCCATCAAAATCCCATCAAAATTCTTCACAGACCTTGAGAGAACAATAACCAACTTTATATGGAAAAACAAAAAACCCAGGATAGCCAAAACAATCTTATATAATAAAGGAACTTCTGGAGGTATAACTATCCCTGACTTCAAACTCTATTACAGAGCTACAGTATTGAAAATAGCTTGGTATTGGCATAACAACAGAGAAGTCGACCTATGGAATCGAATAGAAGACCCAGATATTAACCCACCAACCTATGAACACTTGATTTTCGACAAGGGAGCTAAAGGTATGCAATGGAAGAAGGAAAGCATCTTTAACAAATGGTGCTGGCATAACTGATGTCAACCTGTAGAAGAATGAAAGTAGAGCCGTGTCTATCACCATGCACAAAACTCAAGTCCAAATGGATTAAAGACCTCAACATTAACCTGACCACTTTGAACCAGATAGAAGAGAAAGTGGGAAGTAGTCTACAAGACATAGGCACAGGAGACCACTTCCTAGGTAGAACCCCAGTAGCACAGACAATAAGAGAATCAATGAATAAATGGGACCTACTGAAACTGAGAAGCTTCTGTAAAGCAAAGGACACTGTCAGTAAGACAAAAAGGCTACCTTCTGACTGGGAGAAGATCTTCACCAACCCCTCATCAGACAAAGGTCTGATCTCCAAAATATACAAAGAACTCAAGAAACTTGACACTAAAACTCTAATTAACCCAATTAAAAAATGGGGTACCAATCTGAACAGAGAATTCTCAACAGAAGAACTTCAAATGGCCAAAAGACACTTAAGGTCATGTTCAACATCCTTAGTGATCAGGGAAATGCAAATCAAAACAACTATGAGATACCATTTTACACCGGTCAGATTAGCTAAACTCAAAAACACCAATGATAGCCTACGCTGGAGAGGATGTGGAGTGAGGGGAACAGTCATCCATTGTTGGTGGGAATGCAAACTTGTGCAGCCACTGTGGAAATCATTGTGGTGGTTTCTCAGGAAACTGGGAGTCAACCTCCCTCAGGACCCAGCAATTCCACTCTTGGGAATATACCCAAGAGATGCCCTATCATACTACAAAAGCATTTGTTCAACTATGTTCATATCTGCACTATTTGTAATAGCCAGAACCTGGAAACAACCTAGGTGACCCTCAATAGAATGGTTAAAGAAGGTGTGGAACATATACACATTAGTTTTACTCAGCGGTAAAAAACAATGACATCTTGAATTTTGCATGCAAATGGATGGAAATAGAAAACGCTTTACTGAGTGAGGTAACCCAGACACAAAAAGAGGAATATGGTATGTACTCACTCATAAGTGGATTCTAGCCATAATTAAAGGTCTTTGAGCCTATTAGTCGTGATCCTAGAGAAGTTAAATAAGAAGGTGAACCTGAAGAAAATCATGTAGTTATCCTCATGGACATTGGAAGTAGACAAGAGTGCCAGGCAACATTGGGTGCATGGGGGGGGGAGGGATGGAAAGGGAGAGGGTTAGAGAGAGGGGAGTACGGGAGGATTGGGGAAAGCTTGGGGGAGGGGAGGGAGGAAGGATGGATATGGGAGCAGGGAAGTATATATCTCAACTAAGGGAGCCATTTTAGGGTTTACAAGAGACTTGATTCTAGAGGGGTTTCCAGGTCCAAGGAGAGATCCCCAGATTGTTCCTTGGACAGCAGAGGAGAGGGTGTCTGAACTGGCCTTGGCCCATAACCATACTGATGAATATTTTGCATATCGCCATAGAACCTTCATCTGGCGATGGATGGAGATAGAGACAGAGACCCACATTGGATCACTGGACTTAACTCCCTAGGTTCAAATGAGAAGCAGAAGGAGGGAGAACGTGAGCAAAGAAATCAGGATCAGAGGGAACCTTCACCCGACGATGGATGGAGATTGAGACGGAGACCCACATTGGAGCACTGGACTGAGCCCTCAAGGTCCAAATGAGGAGCAGAAGGAGGGAGAACATGAACAAGGAAGGCAGGACCGTGAGGAGTGCATTCACCCACTGATACAAGGGGACTGATCTAATGAGAGCTCACCAAGGCCAGCTGGACTGGGACTGAACGAGCACGTGATCAAACCGGATTCTCTGAATGTGGTTGGCACGGGGACTGTCTGAGAAGCCATTGATAATGGCACTGGGACTTGTTTCCTCACAAGTACTGGCTTTTTGGGATCCTAGAGTGTTTGGATGCTCACCTTCCTAGACCTGGAGGGAGAGGGGAGGAACTTGAACTTCCCACAGGGTAGGAAACCCTGACTGCTCTTAGGGCTGGAGAGGGAGGAGGAGAAGGACTGGGGGGAGTAGGAGGGTATTGGGAGGAGGGGCGGAAGTGGAAACTTTTATAAATTAATAATAATAAAAAAAAGAATACAATTAGTGGAGAAGAGGGGAGGAAAGATTGTAAGACTTGGGGGCTGGAGAGATGGCTCAGCGGTTAAGAGCATTGCCTGCTCTTCCAAAGGTCCTGAGTTCAATTCCCAGCAACCACATGGTGGCTCACAACCATCTGTAATGAGGTCTGGTGCCCTATTCTGGCCTGCAGGCATACATGGAGACAGAATATTGTATACATAATAAATAAATAAATATTATAAAAAAGATTGTAAGACTTATAATACCAGAAACTCAGCTATGAAAGTCTCTCCTAGAGCTCTAGAAAAGACCTGAAGGTAGCAACAAACAGGAAAACATGGAGGTGGGGAGATTTTAAAGGGTCTCATGCCTAGATAAAGAACTGTAGGCAACTAATAACTTCTGAGAGAAAGGGAATTAGCCTCTCCCAGGAAGACCCTCCCTTACAATATAGAGTGGTCAGCCCTAAAGTCAGATACACATAAACAGCAGTTGAATTAGAATTCTTTTTCAATTAAAAAATTAGTTGTTTTGGGGTTTTTTGTGGTTTTTTTATTTTTGAAAAGAGAAAAGCTACTAAATACAGAAAATTATTTTGTTCATTAGACTTTTATTTGGCTTTTACCTGTTATGAGGAACTATTATGCAAAATGATGACTACAATAATAGTAATTACTAATTGCTCATGTCTCTGCATATGCTGGCCCCTAAGCAGTTTACACACATTTACTCATTTTCTCCTTATAACAATGCCGCAAGGAGGCGCAGATATGGAAAATAAGCTCTCTTAAATACAAGGCGGGTCAGTGAAATAAATCCAGAATCCTGGGCAAGCAACTCTCTTCTTTAATGACTGTAGCAGACTGCTATGGTTATTTCTATCCCATGAATATGCTTACATTTAATGGGGTATTTATCCCATAATTTATAAGAAGTGAATCTTCTTGGTTTGATGTATATAAACATACATAAATCTCTTTAATATATGTTTTCTCTACTAAATAACCTTACCAGTACATGTGAGCTCCTTCTACTACAGTGTATAGAGTTATTGCAGCCAAAGTAAGGCAGACTGGGGGCGGGGGTAACACTTCAGCCCTTGAGTGATTCTTCAAGCCCATTCACCCCCCTTGGTTTCAACCAGAGCTTTTCTTGGAACTTTCTGGTCTAAGTGCCATCAAAACTCTTCCATTCCTTTGCTTCATTTTTGAGTATTAAAATCCCATCATTCTGCTGCCTTAAAAACACATAGACCTACATACTATCGCAAATACTTGAAGGGGAAGGCCAGCTTCCCTTTCTCGGTATCCACCAGCAGCGTCAGAACCTGGTCAGGAGTTATAAGACACATCTTCATGGACTGTATCAGGACTCCTAAATGCCTAACCACGATAGAGGACTCATTCGACAAGAAACTCAAACTGGATAGGAATCTTGAAGTGTCTAGGACAAAAGACTGTTGAGACTTTGCAAGTCCTTGGTATAAAAGAGCTGAGCAAAGCCTCAGTTGACAGTTTCCACCAACTCTTATACTGGGTAGTAACAACATCAGGAAAAAATAGTTCTCTAGACTCAGTAGAAAAAGACAAAATAGTGGGAGTAGAGAGAGTCCCATCGGTCGTCAGTTTTTGGCAGTTACAACATCTTAAAAAATGGACTATTTTTAATCTGTTCCTTCACCCAAATCATCATCCGATCAGCTTAAAATTGCTGCAAATATGTAAGCCAAGAGATCAAATCAGCCTTCTTAGGAAAGAGAGATAGGTCTGTTCAGCAAGTTTTTGTCCCTAGCTAATTGCCATGCCGGGAACAAGCCAAATGAGTCTGAACACCACACAGCAAAGTACAGCCACAAGACAAATATAAGGACAGTCCAAACGGCCCTGTTTAAAAATGCTGGTAGCGTCCAAAGTCCAACAGCTTGGCAAACCCACCCTCTATTCCCAGAGAAAGAAGTTCAAGTACTTACAGTGTCGTGAGACTTATCCTTGACATCATAGACTGTGAGTTTTATTCTAGTCTCTTCATAGATGGGGTACTCGGATGGGAATGTGACACCCGTCAAGAACAGTGGGTCTTTTGTTCCCTAAAACAGCACAAGCAGATAACTTGGATTCAGTACGGCAGCAACTGGAGCTGGCAGCGTGCAGGGACAAATGAGAACAGAGAGAGTGTGTCTCTGCCTGCTTTTCTAGGAATAGTTCCGTGAAAAGAGAGATCTGAAGAGCCAAGTGTTGCTTATGGGCTGTGAGCCCAGGGCCCCGCTGCACTGATGGCTACTGAGTAGGTGAACTGGCATTTTTTTAAGTGACTAAGGACTCTAAAATAAACCCAGTTTTAAAAGTTGTAATCAGAACCTATCTTTAGGACAAGTTACCAGCACATTTGAATACACACACACACACACACACACACACACACACACACAAAATACTACATATTTATTATAGTATATAATATAATATAGTATATAATATATGTATTATTAAAAATACATATATATTTATTATTGAAACAAATAATCTAAGATATCACCTCACCAAATTGAATGAAGCTATTTTCTTCAACCATTGGTAAATGCTATGCTATCCCTTTAAAAATGTTTTTTCTTACTTTGTTTCAACAGAAAGCTATGCTCTATGAGTATGTGATTGTTTTTATGTGTTTAACAGTGACATTTCCACTGTTTTCAAGTCCACAAACAAACCTGAAAACTAGTGAGAAGTCGTCTAAGCCTGATAGATTGGGGAGAAGCAATTATTGCTTGGAATGTGGCTACCAAGACATTTCAGGGCCTCGGAACCACTGTTAGAAAGCTGGTCTCTAACACCGCATTTTACACACACAGTCAAATGTATTTGAAAATGTTTTTAAAAGTCTGTAAGCCAATAGTCAACTAAAACTTCTGAAAGCCTGTGGCACTAATTTACTCATCTTTTTATTCTTCAAAAGGTAAAATGTTTTCTCTCTCTCTCTCTCTCTCTCTCTCTCTCTCTCTCTCTCTCTCTGGTTTTTTGAGACAGGGTTTCTCTGTGTAACTTTGAGGCCTGTCCTGGAACTAGCTCCTTTAGACCAAGCTGGCTTTGAACTCACAAAATGGTATTTTCTTGGACAGACATATTTGGAGACAGGCAGTAAATAAAAGAGCTAAGAAAATTATGCATATTCTATATAAAAGTCAACATAACTTACTTCTATAGTTATGATAATAGATTTCAAAATATGTGTTTTATCACAGGAGAATAAATGAGGGTAGTAGAACAAAATAATAAAAGCAAAATCAAGCTACTTTGAAATTTGGCAATGTTTAAAAATAACCAAGTTAGAATAATACCTGAGGTGTTTTTATTAAGAAAATGACTTTATCTACTTTTAATTGAACTATGAGCTAACTATACATTGTACCGGCATTAGAACTTAAAGTCTCCAAAAGGCAGATTCAGGCCTGCGTGAAGGACCAGACGCAGGGTTACACACAGGATTCAGGCCATTCCCAGAATAGAAATGACTCTCCTGCTGTCTGAATCATTGGTTCCATCTACTGCTTCAAAGCAAACGGTGAGCTAAGCCAACCAAGGCAAGAGCAGACTGCCTAAGTTCATACAGAGAAACTCCACATTCTGAACAGTGGGGCTCACCAGTCGAAGAGAAACAAGAGAAGCTGAAGGAGCTGCAGGGACACTCTCCAGAGCCCCAGATGTTCAGATCAGTATCTGATGTCCTGAAATGTGTCAGGAGAACAAAACCATCTAAAAGGAAACTTGTCCCGTTGAATGTGAGCCAGCACAATAATGAATTTCCCGATACCGGGTGAATGCTGCATTAGCAACAGTCAATGTAAATAGGAAATCTCTCATCCCATGAGTAACATTTACACATTTTGCCCGGAAACATTATAGCTAATCAAGTTAATCACCTTCCTTTCTTTGAAAAACACTGTGCTTTGAAAGACACATAACAGAGGATACAAAGTTTTCACTACTGGGCTGGAAAAACTGTAAAGAGCAAAATCCCCTTCACCTGTTTTAAACTCTGTAGGTTAAACTTTTTCCAACATTATATGTGTTCATTCTCTTTAAAAATCAGTATAGACAGTAGATCATATACATAGAGACACACAAACTTTCAGGCAAGTATCCTGTTCTCTTGGAATTCACAGTGGAAAGTTTTCTGGGGACAAGAGCTAAAATCTTTCCAAGGAAAGTCAAATTCTTTCCCATCTGTTTATTCTGCATGTGCTTCAAAACCTCAGATCTGTGTTCCTTAATGACGGAGGAAAGCAGCAGCAGGAGCAGAGACCACAGGCTAACTTATGTCAGCTGTTCAGAGGGGCGGGAGAGAGGCAGGGGTGGGGGGAGGCGGGAGCAGCATGCAGGATGCACTGGGACAACAGCGCACAGCAAGAGGGAGAGAAACCCATGCCAGGCTCACCTCCACAATCTCTGTGCTGGAGTACCTCGTCAGGGTCTGCTCCACCGGATGGATGACTGAGATCTGCACTGCGGTGTTCAGTTTCCGATCACAGACAGGAGCCACAAGATCCTTGCACGCTGGCAACAGCAGAAAAAGAAAGAAAGAAAAACACCTCACTCGATCTCTTAGGGCAAACTTCCGTCCAGAGCTGAAACAAACTTTGCCTACTCGCCGAAGGAAATCTCCTGGTCCTCAGCTGGCTTTACAGAGGAAGTCTCTTGGAAGTACCTTACAGAAATAGGAAGTCACGTGCTGCCAAGCTGAATTGAGAGTTCATTTCCACTGACCACATTTGCAGCACATGCAAGTCTCGAGTGCTCGGAGATCCCAGTTCCAGCGTGTGAATATGTCGGCACACAGCGCCCGGACTGCGGGGACTCTGACTAGCCATTAACCCCTGGGCTTTCATTCACACTCCTTCATCTTGCAGTGAATTTGGGCCACAGCCAGGAAACTAAGATGTCTCTTGTTGACTCTGGCTGGGTTAAGATGAATGTCTGAATGCACTCTTCAAGGTCTTCCCCTACCTGTGTAAGAACTGGCCTCCTCCAGCCCTCCACCCTGCGGAAACAGGAAGAGTGATTACCCTACCAAACAGCTCAAGCACAAGAGGAAGCAGGCAGGGGTTAAAGTGCCCTCTGTCTGGAATTCAGTCCTGTCCTGGAAGAAAGCAACTCAGATAAGGACTGGGTAATTGCTGCCCAGGGGCCACACATTCTAAGAACTTTTCTCTGACACAGTCGGGTCTGATTGCAGCTCCAGCACCATGCCATATTTACTGGAGTATTTTTCTCCTCTCACACAGCATTCCCTAGTTTTGGAAAAGGAAAAAGAATTAGGGGGAGGGGTGCTCAGTCCTTTTCTTAGTAAGTCTGGTATTGCTCTCCTCCCTTCTCCCCCCTCTGATTTTGAAATAGTGAATTTTCTTGAATTTTTTTTTGAATTTCTACTTCTTGAAATCAACCACTAAATGTGATCAAAAGTATCTCCCTCAGCAGAGATGGGTAAAACTGCTGGCCTGCCTGTCACAGGCTGCAGCTACTGCTAGGGTAAAGGAGACGCAGCCCTGTGAGCGATACATGGTAATGTCCAGAGTTCCAGACTGGCCCCACCCCACTCAGTGACCAAGAAGACAGGCAGAGGAGAAGGGTGTGTTTACACTCTGCAATGATACCTCTGCAATTTGCAGGGCCACTAGGACAAAGGTAACACAGCTTAAATTTGAAACTTGAAAGCGAAGCAATTTATAGATGCAATTATCACCTTCCAATGGCTAGCAGAGCTCCTTATTTATAGAAACAGAAGGAGACAGAAAACACAGGCGCTTTGAAAGGAAACCAGGCTGGTTTAAGTCCAGTTCTGATAACCACACAATGCTGGGGGACTATGCAACTTCTTCACTTCTTGCCAAACGAGGGGCCTTTTTATTCCTGTCTAGTATTTTGTTGTTATATTGTCCTGACTGAAACCACACAGCTTAAGCAAAACAGAAATGCTAAATGAAAGCATGTTTGGAACAAAACAACCACTTACTTACTTCACCTGCACAATTTTTGAGGCATTTTGCTCGTTGCCTAACCTTCAGAGTGCATCAAAAGTCCTTGTCTCTGTTTCTCTTTTTAGCATACCAACATGATCTCTTGCATAGTGGATCTGCCGATGGAAGTCCCACTGTTACTATCATTTATTGCTTACTCCAATAAATCTACTCTTTAAAAACAAACAGAAACCCCACCTACAAAGGATTTCTATATATCAATTTATCACTGGGAAATTTCTTGCACTGGAAGGTTTCGTGAAATTGTTCGTGTGTGGTTATTCTCGTCATTTCCTTTACTTGCCTTTTGAGTGTGTTTTATTGTATGGTCCTCTTGGTTTTCTGCTCACTGTGAACATCTACTGAAGCTGACAAGTATCTTGGCTTTGGGGTTTAAAGCTAGGGGCTTTGAGTTTCAAAAGCACACATCTCACATACTCTCTGGTGACAGACTCACCCCTGCCTTCTGAGCTCTTGACACCTTTGATCAAAATAGGTCACACCTCTTCTGAGTTCTTATCGGCTTGACTGTGGCTGTGGTTCTTCCCAGAAGCGAGCAGCTATTCTGTGGTTCAGTAGAGGGCCTCTCGGCTGCACTTCCCGTAAGAACAGACAGCACATAAAACCTAGGTTTGTGCAGCTCTCCCGATGCCCCAAGAGTGAGCTAGGAAGAGCACTGACAACATCACCATTTGTATTCAGCTACTGTCTATGTTCAAAGCCAGGCACAGAGAACAAGAGCAACAATAGTTACGTCGGAGGCTGTGTTCTCGTCTCCCTTCTGCTTAAACAACCGCCCAGGGCATTTACTGTTTCTTAATGCTCAGTCAGTGAGAGGCAGAGAGAGATGCCAAGATCCAACAGAATTCCTAAAATGTAGCCTTGGATTTCCTGTTTCCTAGTTCTGTGGCACAGAGTAAGTAAATCCCAAACGCTGCCACTCAACTGCCTCATCTGTCAAGGTGGAAAGAACATGGGCCTCTTATTATAAACTTCTACATGCTCGACTCATGCTTACAAATAGCATTATATTAATAGTTAGCAATATTGGATGTTACTGCTACTTAAATAAACTTTATTGGAATAGTTCTACTTAGATGACTCTGTAAAAACTGTTGCCAGATCTGTGTCTCTTTATAAGCGCCAGTCTATGACAGACCACATATCAAAAAGTGGAACAGATAAGCATGAATCTGTGTCTCCTGCAACTGCCTCTGGAGGGCTCATGAAGACTAAATCAATGCTTACGGCATGGAGATGCTACTCATTTGAGCATTACAAAATCTAATCTGCATAGGATTTTTCAGTAGTCAATAAAGATCTAAGGTGGTTTGAATGAGAATGGTCTCCATAGGCTCACATATCTGAATACCTGGTCCTTAGTTGGTGGAACTGCTTGGGAAGGATTAAGAGGTGTGGCCTTGTTGGAGGAGATGTGTCACTGGAGGTGGGCTTTGAGGTTTAAAGATTTATGTGATACCCAAGGCTCTCTCTCTGTCCCTGTTTGTGGATTAAGATGAGAGTTCTCAGCTGCTCTTACGTTCCGCCATCATAGATGCTAACTCTGAAGTTCTGGCCAAATGAAACTCCTTTTCTATAAATTGTCCTGGTTGTGGCTTCTTCTCACAGCAATACAAAAGTGACTAAGAGACGAACCCTGAAAATGAGCTCACAGACCCGAGACTGTCGCCCTTCCTCCACAGCAGCCTTCCCCTGGCTCTACTTCCCAGGAGCTCTACTCCAGAGGACCCCGGATAAGCCCCCTTCCTCAGTGTTTCACAACACAGGACTGCGACATCCGGGGATTTTTGCTTCTGTCTTATTTAAGAATTCTTACTGCATCCCCCAAAAGCTCCATGCGTATTCAATGGTGGCTGGAGAAGAAAGGGAGCTTTTCTTAGTGGTGTGGTCACTGGTAAGGTGACTCTGTCCTTATAAGTGACACCTTGCTACAAGAAATCCTAATTAGACACACTAAACCTGCAAAATAAATACATAAATGACATGAACGTAGAAGGGAAATGGTCGGAAAGAGTGGGAATAAGGCAGTCACAGAGAGTAATAGGTGATGAATACTATCAAAATACATCATATACATATATGAAAAGATGTAGAGAAATTCATAATTAGGCATAATTAATTTATGTTAATGAAATGGGGAAAATATTTATTAAATGGTTGATTAAAGATAATTCTGCTTTAACTAAAGGTATTAGTAAGTGATGCACTCCTCAGTGACTTTTTAACTTTTGCATCTGCCTTTTTACTAATTTTCTTTGGACTTAGCCATCGAAAAGCATTTCCCAAGATCAAGAGCTTAAAATACCTAAGTTGAAAAGTTGAGATGAAAATGTGCTCATGTCCATTGACTGGCTGTTTTACACTAAAAAACAGAAAGGAGAGAAATGGAATAATGAACAGAAATTATAACTTTTGGTTTTCATAGAAAAATATGAACTAGTTATAAATGATTCTTTTTCTGGTGACTTTACATAGTGTCCAGCCACAGGAGGGTCCCCTTTCTTCTTCCAATGATGTTGAGCCAAGTGGCTGTAAAACTTAGCCCAGTTCAGGCTGTACAAGGGTCGGGCAGCTCTCCTCTTGCAGACGGAAATGCAGTGATGAAGTTAAAGGGGACCTCTGTGTCTTGGGAGGAGGCACAGGAGCCACCAGAAGAGCATGAAATGGCAGCCAGTGTGGTTGCATTCTGGGATCTGTTCAAGCTCTGAAATGCCAGCCACCCTGCAAGTGAGCACTAGAAAAGCCACGGTACCCACCCCCGGCTAACCTCAGCCTGGGGGCTAGAAGCTACCAGTGTATCTTCCAGATGCTTGCAGCGTGACTTGGATGTCTAGAAGAAGAGAAGAATGCTCTGGTAATTATTCTATTACTTGAGGATCCTGAGGTCAAAGAGAGGGCATCTTTGGGATTGTTCTCAAGTGAAAGACTCCATCATCCACAAAACACTGTCCTTATTAAATAACATCTCAGCTTGTGTTTCAAGCGGCTGTCTAAATCATGCCGGGTCCATTAGGCCCAAGGAGCCTCTCCATCACTCTAGGCAAGTGTAGCTGGAAGCTGAAAACCGTCTCTCGGCTCGCATCAGAGAGCAGCACAGCTGTCCGTTCAAGGAGGTCTGAGCCTTACAGTGGATGTGTGTGTGGGGGTGTGTGTGTGGGTGTGTGGGTGTGTGGGTGTGGGGGGGGGGGTTACAGGACTGAGAGAAGACAGGTGCCAGCTTTGGGGCACCTGTGTTCACAGATAGCCCAGACGATCATCTCCTTCCACCCGAGAGCCACTTCCCCTGTGGAGTTCCATCCCTTTCTTGCCTTACCAGCATCCATCCAGTATTACTCACAACTGGCAATGTTTCCCTCTCCCCCCCCCCTTTCCCCCGGAACTGAACAGATGAGGAGTGGGGAAGTGTGTGGGGTACCATGACAACATTCCAGAGTTCTACAATTCTCTGATAAGATGAGCCAGAGAAAACCGAGGAGCAGAGAAGACACTGCATAGTATAATAAAGAAATATTTGGATTT